CAGCTTATATATCATATCACCTTAGAAACACTTGATGTTGCAATCGAATATTTCTCTATGTGACTATGTAATATAGGTGAGCGTTCACACTATATGTATGTATACATATTTGATATGTTTAGTCTGAATCTATTTGATAGTATCTAATGATTATCCATGAATAGTATGATTTTATTTAATTTTAGAAACTATATTACGTGAAAATACAAAAAAAAATAAAACAGACAAAACAAAGGTATTTCTCTGATAGTGTATCTAGTTACTACAAATGAATTGAAGAGGCTGAAAAAAAAACTAAAAAAAAAAGAGAAAACAAAACAAAACAAAAACAAACATAATAACCAACCACTAACTCTTTACAACTCTAGCCTATATAAATTATATTGTACTCAATCACATAGAAATTGCATTAATTTCTAATGAATTCTATTAAATAATAAATTGACTAGAATAGACTAGATTATGCATGTTTTGTTTGTAAAGAGTATTGTTATTAGATAGATGATATACATCATAGAGATTGATCTAAAACTAGATAATTGTTTAAAACTAATAATCATTAGATAATGGATACTTCTTAATATGAGAATATACACAACAATGTGTATTCATCACATTCCATTAGGGAATGAATCTAGATCTTTGATTACTTGTAATGATCGTCTAATCTTTTTAATTACTGAGCAAGAATCCCAATAATTAACACTTTTAATTTCAATTAATTTATGATACTATGCTTGTAATTGAATAGTTTTAAGAGAGATATTTCTCATAGTTTGATGATTTACGTAGGACATACATTACTCAAATCACCAAACTGCATCACGAGGCAAGCAATAACTTGGAATCCTGAAGGGAAGCAGAAAAGAGAAAGGCCAAACAACACAATACATCGGGAAATACAAGTAGATATGAAAAGGGTGAATAACAACTGGAAAGAACTGGAAAGTATTGCCCATGACAGAGTTGGATGGAGAATGCTGGTGAGCGGCCTATGCTCCTTCACAAGGAGTAACAGGCGTAAGTAAGTAAGTAAGTAAGTATTTCACACAGTTCTAATGAAAATCCGTAACCAAGTGGAATGTAACTATTTCTCTTTTAGTGAGAAAAGTAAATTGTAACTTTTATTTAGACTCGTCCTTATAGATTTATATACTACTAGTTAGTAGTCAGTAGATTGTATATCAATGTCTTTTAATAGATTTTCATTCTCTGAACTGAATGGTTTAATTATGAAACTTTCATTGTTTGTCTGAACAATATTGTCAGAATCAACTCTAGATGGAAAGAAACAAAAACGAGAATTCCCCCTGTTTTTCAGTATATAAAGTAACAATAAGATTAAAGTAGAGAAGTTATTGATTCACAGATAACTTTATTATGTTATGAAACTGTTATGCATCATACATGTTGACATGTATGTTTTGGAACGATTGTTACACGTTTTAGCACAGATAGATATTTTGTTGGTAATATTGAGTGATTTAATCATGAGGCGTTTGTTTTCATTCTGGATCATATCATATTAAGGGTTTACTGAAAGTATTGAATCAGTTCATTTGGATAAACTTATTTCTAAATGGTTATTTTCATGAGTACTTTTATTCCTTCTGGGATGTGTTGTTTTTCCAGTTGATTTCTGATCATATTGTTGATTAATCTTTACCGTATGAATTGATAAATCGAATCTATATTGATATATCTGTTGACTGTGGAATGATGTAAATGTGACTCTTTCAAAAATTCTTTATCATTATTAAGATTTTAATGATTTTTGTAATCAAACCAGTGTCCTCATGAAATGCTATTAGTGATAATGCATCACAACTACCCCTCGAGCCCCTCTGGGGCTACTGTAGGTCTTAAGCCCGAATAAAGCGGGAGAGTTGTGCGTAGGGTTAGCGACCCAAACCCGTAGACAATTAACTCGCTAAAATAGCGCTAACCAGAAACGAAAATTCAAACCGCTTAAACTCTATCCTGGCAGTTAAAAGGTCTTTATTTAGAGGAGTTATGACGCTTCATTGTGAAAACCAAGTTCCTTCGGAAATAACGAAACAGATGACCATTCGACAACCAGAGCAACCATTTAGACCCAGGACAGAGTGGGTTGGACAATGCTGGTCGACGGCCTATGCTCTACTAGGAGTAACAGGCGTAAGTAAGTAAGTATATCATACATTTTCACGGCTGATCTATGTTTTTGTGTACACAGATGTCGAGTAGTTCACTTTTGTACGTTTCTGAGTATATTCCAGAATGTTCTAAACATTTATCGACCCTTTACTCCAATTTTTTATGACACACATTTCAAAGATAAAATAGGATTGCACTAACGGAAACCTGTTTACAGACTATCAATATAAATATGCCTAAAATCAATGATATCACTCAAGTATCTAGGTGGTCATCGTTTTTTTTTTAAACTATATATTTATATCTTATTAAAATTGGAAGGACTAATATCTCAATTCTAGTTTTCAATGTGACATTCATTTCCTATCAACAATTTCCTACAAACTACTACCATTCAGTACGTCCAAGTTTTCTATGGTGGTCTAAATTCAATTTACATATGATCTCAACTATTGAAATTACTAATAATATCCACAAAGAAACCCCTTCTGATATGAAACTACTTTTTCCCAACATGAAAAATAGAACTGGAACGAGATATGTCAAACAGAAAATTCGAATACTTCTCGTTTATCTATTTACTTATCAATCATAGAAATACAAATATTATTATTATTATTATTATTATTATTATTATTGTGTCAAACTGTGCTCCATTATCAGTTAAGGTTATACATTAGTATTATTATTATTATTATTATCAAAAGGGGTTTTGTGGAGATTTTAGAAATTTCAATAGTTGAAATCATGAGTCAATTGAAGCTAAACCATCATGGAAAACCTGAAAGCACTGGACGGTCGTTTCGTCTTAGTATGAGACTGCTCAGCAATGCGTATCCACGATTCCACCCCCCCCCTCGCGAGATTATTATTAGATTTATTCAATATTATACTTTTGGTACAATATAGAAGTCTCAGTACAAAGTATTTCAGTGAGTTTCCATTTCTTATTTCTTGATCGATATTGACAATAAATATTGATTGATCACCAATTAGATGTTAACAGTTCAGGAATCGATATGTGAATAATGTGTATTCATTTCAATGTAAATTGTCAGCCATCACGATGTCTCGGATTAGACGCTTTTGTAACTTGTACAGTGAAATGTCGTAAACTTTTCATAAACACTCCTGAATCAGCTATGTGACTAAATAGGCACTGCTTACCTATGTCAGGATCATCGAGTAGGCAATGATGAGGTGAGATACAGGTATTACTCAAAGATGTTAGTCGTTAATGGAATTGTAGATCTTTAATAACTGGCAATGGTTGGACTATGTGTTACATATGGCTAACCATTACATATTTAGATTAAAAATGTAAGTTAAAGTATGAGTAGGTTGATAGAAAAGTATTGGTGGACAAAATAAAATGTGACTATCTGTCGAATGTAGTCGTATTGGTAAGTGCAGACCACCTGGTCTCGGTCTCTTTGGTTATGAGAGATATTTGGTGACAAGTTTCAGAATCGATCATAGTGGCGCAAATCCATTCACTCATTGTTTTCCCTTAATTGATGAGCTTTAAAATTATTTTACACTTTTCTCCTCCACTTATCGACTTGTTCTTCACGAATTATTTTGCTTATGCCTAATTTTTCTCTACTACCACTAGTACTGATATTACTTCTACTAGTATGATATTTGTCTTGATATGTCCAACTTACTATTTTGATATGGTGTTACAATCTGAACCAATGTACATATATATTGAGTTCTAAGTTGCTTATGATTGGCATTAACAGTTCCTAACTCCTGAGTTTAATACTCTTTCAGATACTTAAAATCTCAAGTAATACAAACATATTCACAATGTCGTTTCTTTTAACTTCATCTACTTTGTATCACAACATAATCTACGTTACAAAGTAATAAGTACTCCAGTTTTCATATCGCTGACTATTATACTACTTAAATAAAAATTTAAATCATTATTCTTTATATAGTTTAGATCACAAAATGACCTTCGTTAGACAACCGTAGAAAACAAGAGAACACTAGAGAGTTAAATCTTTCCTCTAAGTATACGACTCCTCAGCATTAGTGTAAATCCAAGATCACACTATGATCGAACCTATAACCCATAGGGCCCGAGGTGAATACATGTTCTGCACTTAATCCCTTTTAAGGTCATAGATGTACATTATCGATAAGGAGACTCCATACTAAGACAAAGTATCTGTTTCTCAAACATTTCCCTGATTATCCTAATTGTTTACTTAAAGTTAATCTGTAATAAAAATGGTAAAATTTCAACAGTCTTTACAAATATTATAAGCAAAGATGGATAGTGGTTAACAGTAGAATCCAGGACGCACATTTCTTCTTATTTGGGACTCGTCAGCTGGATGTACCTGCATCTCAGACTTGCTGATGTTCACTCTGGGACTCGAACTCAGTACCGTTCGCTTTAAATGCAATCGCGTTATCCACTTTGAAGCGAACGGTACTGGGTTTGACGACCAGAGTGAACATCAACTCTGAGATGCAGATACATCCAACTGACCAGTCCGAAATAGGACGAAACGCGCATCCAGCTAGATTCTACTACTAGCCACTATCCATTTTTGCTTATAATGCTTGTGAATTAAGGCAATATTGAGGTAATACGCAATAGAATGCACATATGTCAATAAGAAACTGATCATTTGCGGTCCTAAACATCAATGGGAAGATACAAGTAAAACAATACCAAGTGAATTTAGTCTTTTCAAACGCCTAAACTAATACTTTTCTTTATGTACAGAACTATTCTAGAATTAACATCATTATTACCTAGTTGTCTTTTTTTTTGTGATTTCACTCTTTTACCACAAAAACATCCCCCCTCCCTCCCTTCCTCCCCAATCCGAAAAACAAATATCTATCAATAACACAAGTGTTACCTTTTTGTCAGTTAAAAAAAATCAATTATTTATTGGACAGGCATGAACAAGGTATCCAAAGCAAAAAGAACACATATATCTATTTTTTTTAAAGAATACTGTAGGTAAACACTAATATGAACTTGTTTCACTGTTAAACTAAAAACAAAAGAGGAGGGGGGGATGGGTAAAGCGAAAAATAATAAATAAATAAATAATACACTTATTTAATTAGTAGTATTATTCTTGTAACCATCTAAAGTGTTCCCATGCAATTTGTCATTATGATTGGAAAAGACAAATACATATATGTATATCAAATGATGTTAATAATAATAATTAGTAACCATGGGAAGATTCTTTTCTTTTTATCATTAATCTTGTTGAACATAGAAATTGTATGTGTAAACATTAATTCATTAGAGTGTAGTATTTATTCTCACTAAAACAAGTAAACTAACTGTGATGTTTTGTTTTGTTTTTTTTTTAATGAAGAAATGTGTGCACATACACTTACTTCGAATATATCAAGAAGGGATGAGATAATGTTTAAAATAGTGTTCTACAAAACAAAAAAAAAGGAATAATAAAACAAGACTACCATATTCGTTAAATGGGTATCGAACAAAAAAAGGTTCAGTCAGGGTAAGGTAGGGTTTTTTTTTCTGAAGTTAAATTAAAGATGAAATAGAACGAAGTGAAGTTAGTGATAGCCTTTTCATTCGGCTTTCACAAGTAAACAACTGTATACATTACGTCTGAAAAGGATTCATAGGGAAATATGTTTCTGTCATAAAAATAAGGATTGAATGGTAAATAGCACTTCAAACAAGGGTTGATGGAGTAGAGTGACTATCTCAAGACACACACAAAAAAAGAACAACTGTAAACAACCAAATGGTACACATACATTAATATAATAAGAACATCAATTTCAATCAGAATTAGATTGATATCAAATATAATCAAGGAGAAATAGGTCAATTACAATGTAGCATGATGTCGATTCGTTTTTTGTAGAAACTATATTATATATTATAATCCCCGAGTGAGTAAATGAGTACCAGACTTTCCAGGTGAATCAAGATCAAATCTTTGCTCTCCAGATGGTGTAGTTGTTTGCGGTGGTGAAGATGATAATGATTTACGATCAAGGTGTATACCAATTGTTAATTCATAAAGAATTGCCCCAATCACTGCACCAATATATGGACCTAATATAGGTACCCAAAAGAAATAATTCCCTGAAGTAAATGCTGAACCACCCCAACCTAGTAACAAATAAGAATGAACAGATTAGGTATTAAATAGACAGAATAAATAATTTGTTTGTTACTATACACATATACATACAATTAAACTATGTGATAATCATCGGCCTTATATATGCAATTAGTTGACATAAGCCAATCCTAACTGGTGATACATTAATTCATTGATGTGGAACAATGTTTAATTGATTGGTAGAATGAATAAATGGTTATTATCAGTGCATATCAAAAATAACTCATATGTATACACTATCCTGACGGGACTATAATTTATAGACGAATTCATCAGATTTAGGATAACAGGTCTTGGATTTTGATGCGAACCTCATTCATCTGCTTAAGTAACTAGCCTTTTGACATTTTAACTAATGTTAGTTCGTGATGAAAACACTGGTTTATCATCACTGTTTAGTCCTAGTTAGTAGGTCGACATTCTGAAGATCGCTAAACTGACCTTTAGAGTATCCACCTAATAACTAGGATGAAATGAGGGTTATAAACTTGTGTGAGGAATTCGAATTATAATTTACAGTTGATAGTAAGGGGTTAGGAATTAGATTTAGGGTTTTTCATCACGAACTGTTATCAGCTGTAATGACAAAACTCTGTTTATCTAAATGATTAACTGAATTTCGTGCCCAAATCCGAGATCAGTTATCTTATACCTGATTGGTTCGTTCATAAATTGTAGTCTCACCTGTATCAGTTTGATAACAACTACACCTTATCTGTTGACTTGATAATAACTGGACAATATTGAAGTTGTAGATTTAACATGTTTATAACAATAGTTTATTCCAAGTTGAAATATGAGTATATTTGGCATGGATATATTCCATTCATTTATTTATATTGACAGAATATTAGAGATACAACGTAGAGAAAGGTTATTTAAACTACTTGACAAGTAATAACTGAGTCATTCTTTGTATAAAGTGAATTATCGGCCAATTTTCAATAACCAATTAGAATATACATGACATATACAAACATACCCACACATAAGATAAACATACATAAAACTCACATGATATAAGGTCACAGATAATAAAGTACTAAGCAAGATCTTAAAGTACTTGATCAGATTACAATGACACATTTAATGGTTGAACTAAATTGGGCTACCTAAGCATGTGTAATAAGAACTGCTACAAGAAGGAGTTTTATGGAGATTTTAGTAGTTTTAACAGTTGAAATCATGAGTCAGTTGAAGCTAGACTACCATGGAAAACGTGAAAGCACTGGACGGCTGTTTCAACCTAGTATGGGACTCCTCAGCTCTTCTCAGTGCTTTCAGGTTTTCCATGGTGGTCTAGCTTCAATGGACTCATGATTTCAACTATTGAAATTTAGTTGTGAATATCGTCTAGATTAAATAAATCATGAGTATTAACGATGGTATTGTATACCTTCAGATTAGTAAATTAGTTAATTAATCATCCTGATGTTAATAAAGTGTTTATCTACACTAACATTAAGTTTCCTATTGAACCTTAGTGGAGTAAAACTAGTGGTGAGATTATAACTTATGGACAACCTTTGAATAATGATAAAGTGATCTTCAGAATGTCCACCTACTAACTAGGATTAAATGATGACTAGCAACCAGGGTGAGGAATGAGAATGATGATTTATAGTTGATAGTAAGGGTTAGGAATTATTAGATTTCTAGTTTTCATCACAAACTAATATGTCAAAAGGTTAGTTAGCTAAACAGATGAATGAATTTCGAGCCAAAATTCAAGACCTATTATCTTAAATCTGATTAATTCGTTCATAAATTATATTCTCGCCCACGTCTCTGCCAACTTTCCTAATTGACTTCACATTTTACTCTACCTGATATTAGATGAATCAGTACTGTTTCAGGGTAGCTAAATACTATAAAGTAGTATAGAAAGATATTGTCTAAAATCAGATGAAGATCAAGGTAAACCTCAATCAGTTAGTGATATTTCATTTCATTGAATTGTAGTAAACATCCAAGTAATTTAAACATCTTCATGGTATATTAGAAAAAAACTGCACGTTAAAATTACTGGATTTCACGACGACATTTGTTATCATTACTTATGATCGCTTCTATATACTATGATAAGTGCCCAAAAACTGTGAATGGATTTAGAGAGAACAAATGGTCTATCAACTAATTGTCGGTCACCCGCTACCATAGGGCTGCATCTCCTGACGTTGTTCCACTACCTTGTGGGTCAAACCTATAGGTTGAAGGCTCATGGTGTGGCCCCCATAAGAAAACCACCTGCTTCGGTCTAGACACCCGGACAATATCACAACCCACTTACACATCAAGTGAGTTGTGTGGCGCATATATATTCGGTGCCCCTTTGTACCAATATTTATGTGTTCATATGAATGAATAAATAAATAAGTGTGGATATTAGTATTTTATCAAACAGTGTTTAGTAAGGAAGTATTTCATTTATATCTCGTCTATTGTTCATAATTGTATATCAACAAACAAAGTCCTTGATAATTATGGCAGCCTAACATTGCTTAAAGTTAAACATATACATCATTGGATTATACCAAACGGTCCCGAGGTTAGACGTTAACATAGAAGATCAAACATCCTAAATCTAACCCCTAATGTCAGAGTGATGTATGAACACGGCAACTGAAGAGTCTCATTCTAGGACAAACTAATTATCTAATGCATCCTAGTTTCTCATGGATATGTAACTAAAGTTGGTTTTGTGACATAAAAAAAACAATAAAAGCTATGAGTGTTTACCAGGTTAATCAGACTAGGTTTTGAGGTTTGCACGATTAAACACCTCAATTTCTAGAAACACCATAAATCTCTTTCAACATACCAATAGGACTAGTATAAAGAAATCTTAAAAGATAAATCAGATCATTGTCACAAAGATAAACTAAAGTTAAGACAACCAAAAATAGGAATAAGTCAATACTCGTCAATACTTGGCAAGCCCCAACTTGGAATCCTGAAGGGAAGCGGAAAAGAGAAAGGCCAAACAACACAATACATCGGAAAATAGAAGTAGATATGAAAAGGGTGAATAACAGCTGGAAAGAACTGGAAAGTATTGCCCATGACAGAGTTGGATGGAGAGTGCTGGTTGGTGGCCTATGCTCCTCCACGAGGAGTAACAGGTGTAAGTAGTTAAGTAAGTAATCCATTGAAAATTAGTTTAATATTATTTGACATTGATGTAAATTATTCAGAATACAGTTACAGCTCTTTCCTTATTCTAACCTACACAAGTAATCGAAATTGTAGGAAGCATTAATTCTGACCAGGATATTCATTACATCACTTGGAAACACAATCACCCACTAGATCTCTTTCTCTCTTTCCCGCACACATACACACACACACTTAAATTATTTCACTCGCTACCATGCATAGACCAACATCAGCACCTGTAGCTGAAACCAACTGATCTATTTGTGAAAATTATATTTGGATCAGCACTAGCGAAAGTTAAGTATAGCTTTCCAAAGGAAGAACAAATCAGGATGTTGTCTATAAGACTAACTGTCATAATTGTAATGCAGTTTATATGAGATAAACTCCCAGACAAATGAACGTGAGGTTAAAAGAACACAAACAATATTTGAATAGTGTTCTCAAATCTTCGGTTGATGTGAAGAAACTTGAGAATACGTCGGTGGTTGCTAAAGAGGTCTCAAGAATAGTCGGATTTTATTAGAAAGGTTATGATCTCTTTTGAAACGATAACCGCTAGCATACTTTCTACCAATTCAATTTTCCGTATGACCTTTACCCTATGATTGTTTGTTATGTTTAGTTCGCTAAATTGGTACATGCCCTAAGGTCATATTCTGCTACTATACTAACAACTTTTGTACCAATTTCGTTTGAGTTGTTTGTTCTACCACAAATATCAAGTTACCTGCAATTCCGTCTTCTTCCTGTCTTAGCCGTTGAGGTTCGATATGTTAAATATAATTGACTGTTGTCAGTTCCGAAGAAAACCTATCGTATTAGAGAAACTCAATCATTTTCATTCCTAAATCCGTAACATCATAGGCCGTACTGAACTCTAATAACAAGACACAACAGTGACAGCGTTACACGCGTTAAAAACTGGACACAAGATCGATTTCGAAAGGACCAAAATACTTCAGAAAGAATTTGGCACATGTAAAGAAAAACCGACAGCAGAAGTGCTATATATATATATGGGCTAATAAGAACAGTCAAAACAGAAAAGATGATATTCAAGTAGCTAGTACATGGCAAATGTTCATTAACAAGTAATTGGACGCTATGTCTATCCAACCTGTTTATTTCACATGTATCATTATTCTAACAGAAATGAATTGGGATATTTCAACACGACAATTAAGCATTTGATGGTTCCTATCTAACATGTACATTGACATCTCAAAAAATACTTTCCCTTAGTACTTAACACTTAATATCAACTATCAACTAACTCAATCATACATACACACACACAATCATTCATTCATTTAACTTCACACTGTGAACTCATGTTATGCTACTTACTAAAGTCAACATCTGAATATGAGTAAGAACAATAAAGATTAGATTTGATTACCAAAACATTAGATGTAACGTTGATAGTTTTCTAACTCTGAAGAAGTTCAGACAAGTTTGTTGGACGAAACATTACAATTAATTACATTTTAATCTATGAAATTATTTCAAATATAATTTTCACAAATAATATCTTCTCTATATTCAATGCCCAATTTCTATTAAATTATTTGTTCTAATATTGAACAATAGTCCTAGAAACAAGTAATCTATTGATTCATCAACAACAATCATACATGAACACATTCACAAATTATATTTTCCATTACCAAACTCTATTACATCAGTGATAAACCAAAAACACATTGTATCCATTAAGAATCTTAGTAACAGACAAATATACACATACACACACACATACACACAAGATGAAATACAATCACCATAGTTTGTCCAGTGAATGGAAAAAGGAAAAACAAACTGTTCTCGTGATACCGTCAATTTCATCATAGTAATCAACATTTACAACAAAGTAATCTAATCTAATAGTAACAATAACAATGATCGGTAAGGAACAATAATATTCTCAATAATTCATTACACAAATTATAACGATCACATCTAATTCATAATGTTCATTAGGTATTTGATAAACATGACAATAATTCACTAATCGTTCATTAACTCTATAAGTAACAAAAATAACATGGATTCCAAAGGAATACACATTAAAAGAACACAGTCAATCGTATGGCATTACATCGATTACTATCACTTGTGCTTTTCTCTATTTTCAACTATCATTCCATATTTCATATTTCTCTGTATATCTTGTAGTAAATTATAAAATGTATTTGTTGATTGTACACTGATTAACTTAATTTGTCCGTTAACCAATCAGTAGTTTCTAAGTGTTTTTAATCAATGAAATATTCTATAAATTAAGTAACATATTCATAATAATCTCTAGTTTGTTTCATAAGGGTAGTTTTGTTTTTTGTTTCCTTAAACATTTCAAGTTGAGTACAGAATGATTTTCTGAATAATACTGAGTTGTGACACAATTACTATGGCTCGTGTGATGTTACATAGACAAACATTTCACTTATATTATCGACTAGACAGAAATTGTTATTACAGCTTCGTTAGTCAGTCATTGAGTCAGTAAGAACGTGAAACTTCGTACATACGTATATCAATTCAATTTGCCATACCACATTAGCACAGAGATGTAGTTGTCGATTCAAATCCAGTAGTGGTAGATTTAGTAAGAGTATAAGCACTAATCGGGAAGATTAAGGTTTGAAGATGTTATTCAAGGAGTATATTCTAGTGAAATAAATTTGGAAACAGGCAAAAATAGACATGAATTATTCAGAAGATTATAATTCGGGAGAACACAAAGAGTGGATGCACCTTGCGTCATTGTAAACGATATTGAACCGTGTCATTCAAGGTCTCTAACCATCAGTTGCTATCAGTTTCGTTAAGTTAATAATTATTTGTTGCTATCCCAGCCATTTTGCAAGCAGTAATTTTAATGGGATTATTAGTATGTAGTATTGGTAATCATTATAATAAGAACATTATGATAATCAGATTATTAAAACAAAAGCTAAACTTACCGCACATTAGTATCATAAGTCGAGGTCCTAAATCACGAGCTGGATTTAATGCAGCTCCAGCATTCAATGCAAAACATCCAACCAATGCATAAACTAGAAATGCTAAATGTAACGGGTGTAAGTAATCTGGAAGTTTCCATCCATTACGATCAGTAATAGCTAAAGCTCCTGCTGCTAACAATGCAGTACCAAGAACTTGATCAAGAAAACATGTTAAATGAGATGCTCCAGGATTTGTGACAAATATACCACCTGTTGTCTTTACTATAAAACTTCCATTTTCACGTGTTACAGCATATTCATGTATTTTTTCATAATAAACACCATATATAACAAGAGAGCCAACAAAAGCTCCTAAAATTTGACTAATTGTATAAAATGGTACACGTCTAATTGGAAATTTTCCAATTAATGAAAATGCTAATGTAACAGCTGGATTAATATGTCCAGAACCTCCACAACCAGAAAATATAACACCCATATAAACAGCAAATCCCCAACCCAAACTAACTGATAAAAATCCACCATGTGCTTGTTTACCATGATCACCTAAAAATGTTTGAGCTAATACACCACAACCAAATATTAATAAAATTGCTGTACCACAAAATTCTGCTAAACATGCTCTAATAAATGGATATGATATTAAACGAATTTTATCAGCAATTATATGTTGTTTACGTTCTAATCTTCCTTCAAATGTATCTGTACGACCCATGAATAAAGAATTTCTTTTCAATAATCTAAATGATGATTATATTCTAATATGTATCTCTTTGTATTCAATTGTTTTTGTTTTGTTTTGTTTTTTTCTAATTAAGAAAGTTTGATATTCACTAATAATGATAGATGATGCAGTGTAATTTTTGAAAAAGAGTTAAAACTGAATTTATTTTACAATTTATTTGTTATAATATATTAGATAAGTGAAAAAGCAAAAAACAAAAAAAAAACAGAAAAATTCGATAGGTTCTCATTTTTAACCAATCATATGTTCGTTTTATTCCCATTTTTATATGATTATGTCCAAATTATCATTTTTAAATTGGCCAATCAGAATGTAGATTGTAAGGTCATTCTATTTTAAAAAATAAAAAATAAAAAAAATAAAATGCTGAATGGTTTATCTATGGGATAAAATATGAATATTTCTTTGTTGTTATATTTGATCTTTTTTCATATTTGAAAGTGTTGAATGTCTTTCATGAATAATGATCTTTTCTTTCATTTATGAAGTTGTATTTAGAATCAATTACTGTAGTTCTATTGGAGTTACTGCCAGTCGTAAGCTCAGGATAAAGGATGAAGGTTGGTCATAGGGTTAGCGAACTTATCTCGTAGAAGACTAACTTATTTAATTCATTGAATAATTTTCAAAATGTAAAGGATATTTGAATCTAGCTATTGGAGATTTGTTTTAGAAGTGGATTGGATTATATTCATATCTTTGGAGTTATTGTAGTATAAAATTATTTACTGTTTATAGATCACAATGAAGAATGAACACTTAAAGGGTTTAAGTTAAGAATCTAATCTATACAGTGTAATTGATAAGAATATTGACTGCTATCTATCCAAATTCCTTTCAGTTATCAGTCAAATGTATCAAAGATCTCATAGAAATGGAAATAGATTATCAGAAAACTACTTACTTACTTACGCCTGTTACTCCTCGTGAAGGAGCATAGGGCAACCACCAGCATTCTCCATTCAACCCTATCCAAGGCAATCATTCCTAGCTCTTTTTAGTTGTTATTCGTTCTTTTCATATCTGCTTCCATTTACCGACGTAATGTGTTGTTTGGCCAACCTCTTTTCCGCTTCCATTCAGGATTCCAAGTTAGGGTTTGTACGTCCCATCCATTTACATCGTCTTTTTCTAATTTTCTCTTCAACTGAAACCTGGTTTGTTCTGTCCCACAGTAGGTTGTTGCTGATGATATTCGGCCGATGTATGTTGAGTGTCGTGTGTAGACAACTATTTATAAATACTTATACATTCTTGATTATGGTTGTAGTAGTTCTCCACGTTTCAGCTCCGTACAGTAGAACTGTCTTGACGTTCGTATTGAAGATTCTGACTTTGATATTGGTTGAAAGTTGTTTCAAGTTCCATATGTTCTTGGATTGTAGGAATGCTACTCTTACTTTGATAATCCTCACATTTACGTCTACATCTGATCCTCCTTGTTCATCGGTGATGCTTCCCAGGTATGTGAAGGATTCCACATCTTCCAGAGTTTCGCCATCAAGAGTGATTGGATTGCTATTCTCCGTGTTGTATTTGAGAACCTTGGTTTTTTTGTGTATGTTGAGGCCTAGTGATGCAGAGGCTGTTGCTACACTGGCTGTCTTTATCTGCATTTGTTAGTGTGTATGCGATAGGAGGGCTAGATCATCTGCGAAGTCCAAATCGTCTAATTGGTTCTGAGCTGTCCATTGTATGCCGTGTATCCCCTCAGATGTCGAGGTCTTCATAATCCAGTCGATCACCAGAAGAAAGAGGAAGGGAGAGAGTAGACAGCCAGAAAACTAGGGACACCCGAAAGATGAAATCATAGACTGTTAAATTGAGACGCGATAACGGCGATCAGTGGTCAGACATATTGGTTGACATGGTTCATTCTTTTTCTTCTCCCAGGCCGACCCATCAAGGTCGAGGATTCCTTCAAGTGGATAACGTTTCTCAACTTCGGTAATACTTATGTTGATCGTGATTCCTTTATTGATTCGCTGTTGATTGGACAAATCACACTATGAACAATTATACGAAAATATGCTACTTCATATCATACTAAATCATGTAACGGAGTGTTTCGTTAGTAAAGGGAAAATACCAAGCTAAGATTTGATTTAAAAAAGGACAAGGGATTTACTATTAAGGTGTTAAAACAGTATGAAAAATGGACTATTTATACTATGCGTTGTCAGACTAGAGAGAAATCTAACAGAATGATTATCAATACCATAGATGGATCAATGCTGGACTACCATTGAAAACCTGGAAGCACTGGAATGCCATTTCGTCCTAGTATGGAACTCCTCAGCAATGCGCGTCCACGATCCCGCATGTGGATCAGAATCAGGACCGTCGGAATGGCGTGCAAGCGTTTTAACTATAGACGAATGAATCGGCATCGGAAGGTGTTAATGTATAACTTCAAACAATTCACGAAATTGTGCGACTGTCCTTCATTGTCTTCAGTGAGTAACTGCCTCACAACAGACACGGTTGAACTCCATTAGTCACGGCTTCTCATTAGAACATCTAGAAATTCATCTTAAAGCTAGTCACTAGTGAACATTATATCAATCTAAACTTAACAATCTCCACAACCCTATACTGAGAATCATTATTTTCACACTAGAATAAAGTAATAACTATTGTCTTGAATGGTTCGCTAGGAAATGGAGTGTTCTAGGGATTAAAAGCCACCCCTACAAATAACACTGAAGATTTCCTTAATTAACAAACAAATAATATCATAAAAGGTTAGAACTATAATCTTCACGTCTTCAATTTGTTCAGCAAATAGTTGTAAGTGAGATTACCATACAAATTTTGATATTACATTATTGTTTCAACACTTTAGCCTATGAGTATATAGTACAATCAATATCTAAAATCACAAAATCATGATTACTGAGGGAACTAATATCCACAAACTGCCTATAGTAATAATAATCATATGCTCACGAGTGAGGTTGTAAGAAGTAGTTCCCAGAGTTCTAGCGAGAAATCATAATCAGTGGAGTTCAATTATACCCGGTTTGATGTAGTTACTCACAAATGGGATTAGAAGATGATTGAACGATATTGCAAATGATTAAAGTTTAAAATGTCAAGCAATAGGATACTGGCTTAGTGGCTAAAAGGTTAATTTTTCGTTTTGGGACATGAATATTCTGAGTTGGATACCCAATAGGATCGTAAATAGACACTTCTGAGTAGTTCCACATAGGGACGAAATATCTTCATCTCCAGTGCTTCCTAGCTTTAGGAAATTCAGTGATGTGTAGGGAAATTGTATGCTATGTCAATTAGAAGTATTCGAAATAGTGTGCTAACCAAGAATTTTTGAAATAGGGTAATATAAGGGAGGTAGAACTAGATGAGCACAGCTGGACGTATCATAATTGTAATTCGTCATAAATGTGTAATCAAATACAATGGAATGATCAATCGGTATAAATACCACAACCTTTACAGCTTAAATGAAAATCCAGATTTCTATATTCCATTGTACGTTTTCTCCTTAAGTCCATCATGTTTCTGTTCAGCTGTCTATTGGGTATAGACTCTTTATGATCTAGAATGTACTGATTAGTATTAGAATTAACAGACATTGGGATGAACTCACCTAGATCCTTATAACGTATTTGGTTATTGTGACTGGTTTTCATATGAACCATAGATTTATCAATCATTTTCAACAAACCGTTCGTATATTGTGGAAAATTAGTCCTTCGATAATTTGTAATACCAGCAGACTGTAAAACTTTCGATATTTGGATACACATTTTTCTGTTTAGGCAATTTCACTATAGTTTCTTCTGCGTACAGTCTGGCAGTTCTGCACTAAAAGACTTTACCTACCCTCTGTTCGGGTCTTTGAATTTTGAAGTTGTAATAGAATTGATTGTTGTTTCCAAAGTCTTAAAATTCTTTGCTTGAGCATGAAAATACGAAAACTTTGAAGTTGTGCTCAAATCTTTTCATTCCGATTCTGTAGTTAACAAGTTATTAACCATTTTATTAGGACCGTCTTCAATGACCAATAAGGAAAACTGTCCTTGAAGCATACTGAAACTTTCTTGACTCAAGATAGATGGTCTACAATTGATGTTGAGGAATTCACAATGTATAATTAAAAATTTACCGTCTGTAGTCATCAGATTACAACACCTAAGATCAGGACGTTTATGACTAGTAATATTCAAAATATAAACATTAGAGGGTTTAATTATAGAATTCGGATTTAATGACTTTAACTTACCAACTGAAATGATGGATTTGATACTACAAGTGTGAACAATAGAATCGTGAAAAGCACCACTGGACAAATATAATCACCTTTGAATATGAATCGAATTGCTGAAAGTTGTGAATAAGGTTAGTTTATGATTATTAGAATCCCTCAAATTAATAGGATCCAAATTACTGAGTTTAATATTACAAGTGGTGAAACGGAAAATAGTTTTATAAATCGACTTGATGTTTCCCAATCAACCACAGTTGAAGAACACAGTATGACGAAATGAACGTGAATTATATGAATGAAGTTCACTACACGACAAACACTTACCGAAATTCTGCTCACCTTCATTTACTGCATTGTTATTCTTGAATGAATGTCTTCACAAGAACGGGGATTATCTTTAATGAAACACTCAACCCTATGACCTTGATTACGAATCGAATTAGAACAACTAAGTAATATAGTGGAATACTTTATATCCTGAAAATCGATTTCATCCACTGCTTCATAATAAATACGTGCAATACTATAATCTAGGAAGAAACACTTTGTCATTCGTATAAACCTTCTTTCGAGATTTGATATGTTAATTCCTGATATAAATTACTCACATAACTTGACATCGAATCGATTAACAAAATCACACTTGACGGCTTGTTTCTGCGATTCAAAGATAAATTCTCTAACCTTCTGGTTATTCTGACGAGTCGTTTTATGAAATTTTGTTCTTTCACGGCATTCGAACGTTATACACATTACATAGTTTGATTGTTGTTTTTTGGAAGTTTCATAATATGATGGAAAATGTTCGTTTGGGAATGGGAAATTATTCGGTACATTGTAGTCATCACTTGCGATGAATGTAAAGAAATGAGCCACGATTTTACCATCTTAAACATACATGCAGGTAATATTCCAGATTTAAAATCTT